ATTGCCTCCAGAAGAGGTAGTGGTTGAGGATCCCTACTGCTCTCTGTAGATCTCTTAACGTCATGCTGTTTGCTAGGATTTTCGCGATGGTAGCTTCTATGATGATTATGGCGTCTTCGATCTTGTTGCTTGGATTCATGATCTGGATGGGTGCTTCACTACTTCCAGGCGATGACGTTAGTACATTCAGTCCCAGCGTTTCGGTTGCGGTGTCGAGTGCTCCGATGACGTCTTTCTTGTCTGCTTGAATTAGGCCAAGCGATTGCAGGAAGCGTTTGGTAAAGGCGTGCTCAGCGGCCGCTAGTTCGGGTCTTGAGATAATGACGATATCGACCACATGAGTTAGAGGGGCGCCGATGCTTGTGGCGGGGAGTGTTTCTGGAGGTGGTATACATATGCTATGCCATAAGTATACTACCACGATAATTCCGAATACTGTCTGCAGGGTATGCTCGATGAGGCGGCTGATGCTGCCAGTGAAGTTGAAGACGCTGTGGATGTTGCCAAAGGTCATCGACCTTGTGGTCGCGAATCTCATTGTGTTGGTATTCGGATCCCAGTAGGAGAGGAGGTATGCTCCTTCGCTGGAGTCATTTGGGAGCTGGAAGTATGCACTAGACAGGTCTATTTTACTGACTACTGGAGTGAATCCAGGCTGGTCTTCCGACGTTGTGGGCTGGGATTCCCATCCGCCAGTTATTGCCGTCATGTCCTGCCACCGGTCGACTCGCTGCCTTTCTTGGTTGACTTGATCAGATAGGTGCCGCTTTGTCATCGTTGCTGGTGCGTCGATTAGTGGCGCGACGCATTTTTGGAGGATGTTTAGGATGTGCGGGACATTCGGGAGCGTTAGATGTTCGCTAATAGCGGAACACATTTTGTTGTCTCGTTTCTCGTTTGCAATGTTTCTTACTTTAAGCCAGGAGCTTACGTTGTAGCAGTATTTTTGTCCGATGGAGAAAATTGGCACGAGCCTCTCGACTTTTACTCCTTCAGCTGTGTATAGAGTGCCTTGGTTGTTGGTGGTGGGTGGAGATGTGGGCGACAGGAAGCCCGCGCTGACGCTTTCTTGCATTGTGTCGTAGCCCCTTTGTAGTTCTTCAGGGGTTTCAAACTCGTAGGGGCCGCTCTGTCGGATTTTTACTTGAGGATGGCGCTGGTGGAGTTGGCATGCTCTGAGTTCGTCGATTTCCTTGTTCGTTAGGGGCTTTGCGTTTGGCCACACTCCATATCTGTGATGTGTTTGGGCGTTGCTAATGATGTCTCGCTTGGTTGTCGTATCTCGATCAGTGTATTGAGTTGCACCTTTGTAGGCCATATGTCATGCTAGTCATGTTATTACCTGAAGACTGGGCCTGTGCTTGGGAGTCCTTTTTCGAAGAAGCCATCTGGTCCATACACTGCCATCCTTCTGGTTTCGTCCATGAAGTTTGATACTTCAGCCCAGTATAGGAACCTACTAGCAGTTTTGCGGTTGTAGTTTTCTGGCCTGGGTGTGTCGTAGAGTGTTGACGCTTGGCGTGACTCTCTGCTCCGGGACTCTGTGTCTTGTTTGGTCCAGTGTGGGCTTGATTCGTAGAGGCTGTTGAGGGTGTCGAGTTTGTCGTGTAGTTTTTTGGCATGTGCGGCTGAGGGCTGGCCTAGTGTCGTTGCTGCGTAGTCACGCACTAGCTTCCGCATGGGGGCATCAAGGTCCGAGCTTGATGCCGTAATTGTGTGGTCTTCCATGTTGGTCCGTGTCTTAGGTGCCTCAAATGTCAGGGCATCGCGTAGGGCTATTCCCCGTTTTGATTATTACTAATATATAGGCTGGGGCGTGTTAGATGGTCGGGCTAGATATGTTACATGTATAGGCACCGGGTGGCATTTACTTTTATATTGCAACTCGTGCATCGGTCTCATTTGGGGGAAGAAGAAGTCTTTTTTAAGGGGGGGGGGTTAGTACTTAATTCACCGACTCGATCAGGACGCCCTTGGTAGATGTTAATGGCCATGGATGCTCATGGTTCCACTTATTTGAACACTTGGCACATCGTGTTGTGCGTATTATATGCGACTGCTGTAGAGTTTTCCCCTATTAATTTCAAGGACGTCATTTGCGTTCTTATTAATTTCAATATCCTTCGGAATGTAGTTTCTGCTAAAGAGGGCAGCTCCTTTCTTCATGTATTCTGCTAAAATTTTGCAGGAAAGAACGACTGCCAAGATGATTAGAATTTATCTCATCTTGGTTGGTATCACCCCGGTCTCACTGGAACGAGGGAGTGCCTTGCTGACAGCAAGACTTTGCCCCCACTGGCGTGTGCTGGTTGGTGCTTGCCTTCTCGGGTGCACCTGGTCCAGCTCCACAGTATGCACAGTGAACCACAGCTCTACCACATTCTGTGCAGTAAGGTGTCAACCGCACACCTAGCGGCCGTCCTGCTCCTGGGAACACTGTGCTCTGTGTGCCACTTCTGCCCCGAGGTATCGGCGGCCCCGCACATGCTGAGGATTTTGATTATGGAGATTATAAAGTTGATGGCCTATTTCAAGATAGCTAAGTTTATAATATAGCTTCAGTATTATGCTCCACGTGCTCAGTTCTGTTTATTTTCATCCCTTGATACGGAGCACAGCCATGACATGTGCGATAAGTACTCTAGGAGTCTCTTTTTCCGGCTCCTGATCCCTTCGCACCTTTTGCAAGCGCTTCAGTGGTTGTGTGGTCGTGTCCGTTCTTGCAGTGTGGTGCTATCAATTCTCCGCTTTCGTTCAGCACTGTAAGTTTGAGTCGGTTTGCTAGATGGAGGGGGCACAAATGTGTAGCGTGTATTTGATTTCGTGTTAGTGGCGTGCACTCGGTTATCACATCAATTGTTTTGCAAATAAGGTTCGCGATACCTCCCTTGCTGCCTTTTTTGCCTTTGCCTTTTCCTTTCTCCTTACCTTTTCCTTTGTTGTGTTTCCCATGGTCGCCTCCTTTGTACAGACCCCCATAGGCATTGCCTTGGTAGTTGTAGGCATTGACTCCGTACGCTGATTTGCCTTTTGCGTTTCCTTTTCCTTTGCTCTTTCCATTTCCTTTTCCCTTTTTCTCAGCTGGCTGTGCTGGTGCTGTGTCTTTGATGCGGCGGAGGATATCGATGATCTCCCGTTTTGAGAGTTTTGCTGTCTTGGATGGGTCGCACTTGAGGTCACTTGCCAAGTGCGAGATCATAGCAGTCTGCTTTAGTTTCCAGAGTGCTGCGCCTAAGCCTTGGACGCATTTCATTGCATCTCGGAGCTCGGTAAACTTTTGGAAGTTACTGCCGAGCACTTTGGCAGCGTAGAGCATGATGAGGCAAGCTCTTTCACCTTTTGCGACTTCGAGGAGCTTTTTGTGGTTTTCTGAGTTGAAGTCATTGACGTGGTCGTGCATCGTAACTACTGACTGGAGTACTTTCTCGGCTGCTTTTACTGCCCTTGAAAGTTCATCTGATTGGAGACCGAAGAAGCTCGGAGGTATCGAGTATCCTGTGAACAGGCTGGATGCTCCTAGTGTTTCGATGATTTCTCGGAGAGAGGCTCTGAGGCTGACAGTGGCGTGTGGTGTCAGGTGCAGTTCGTTGATTACTTCGTCCGCCTTCCTGTTCAGCATGATTGCTGGGTCATATTGGTTGATTGAGAGGATGGTCAGTGCGTCCGCAAATGTGTCCAGTGTTATTGGTGCCTCTTTCTTTGATTTCACGATTTGCGCCGCTTGTTGATTGTGGATGAGTGCAAAGACTGGGCTACTCTTGGTCGTGCTTACCGGTGCTTCCAGGTGATTTTCATCTTCTGAGATGATGGCGTCGACGCACCTTCTGACTTTTCGGAATACGAGCGGACTCAGGAGTCGGGGCATTGATTCAGCTGCGCCTGGTCTGGCTGCCATGAAGCAGTACAGGTGTAGCGCGTAGGGATTAGAGAGGAGAGAATTGCTAAGGTAAATGCCTGTGCTAGATTTCACTCTTTGCCACCAAGCCTGGCGGTAGTACACGCATGGCCGTAACGAGTGACAGCGCTGCCTCCGATCCGTGGCCGCACGCTTCTGCCATGTAGTTTGGAGGTAGCGGGTCCTCATAATGAGGGTAACCCCATGGGCATTTCGACGACTTTGGTCCATGTTGGAGCGCTCTGCCGTCTGCTGTCGGAGGATCCCACTGGTCAGCGCTTCCGTCTTCGTACTCCCATCCTTCCGGACTTTCCGGGGAGTCTGGTTCGATCTCATGACCGAAGTGGCTACCAAAGGCAGACCTGATTCTTGCCTGGTTGGCTGCGGATGCTTTTTGCTTTTCTGTCTTGTGTTTAGGTGTCCGCTTGGCTGGCGAGACAAAGGAGACGGACTGCGTTTTCGCCTTCGGCTTTGCTTCATGCTGCTCGCCATTTATCTCATCTAGGGTTATTTTTCCGGCGGCGAGCAGGTCCTGGATGTCCTTCGCTGGGTTTTCGCTGTATTCGTCAGAGTCTTCAGTTGGAGAGTCGTCTTCTGCTGTGCTGAGTGGTGTCCACTTCTGACAGTCGATTACAGACGAGGCAAAGTAGTTGGCATATCCCATGTCGACGCCTGGCCACTCTGCGCATGAGATGCGATACTGCTCCGAGATGCCTGGGACCTCTTTGATGCTGTTATCCTCCTGATAGTTCGCCCATGTTTTCTGCTTTTGTTTTTGGCACATAGCCCAATTCTGCTGTTGTGCCATGGCTTGGCTGATCGTCTCCTTCAGTGATCTCACTGGGAGGGGACTCTCCCAGTTACCAGAGTGGAAGGCGTCGTCGGGCCGGTGGTAGCACTGCAAGAGTTGGAGGACTGCTTCAACTGCTTGGAGGATGTCCGGATGGATCCCTCTGTCTCGTTCCTTGGTATTCTCGGAGAGCGATTTTGTTCCACCGATGATAGCGTCCCAGATCACTTCTGGAAGGAGTCGGTGCTGGTATCTCGCGTGGTACAGCGAGTAGCGAAGTTTCAGGATTGTGTTCTTCACGATTGGCGGTAGTGTGTCGAACAGGAAGCATGCTGCTTTTGGGCAGTTGTTCGAGCACCGGTATGCTGTTACTAGTTGGTAGAAGATCGGCTCGATGAACCACCCTTCTGCTATATAATTCTCTACATCTTCTGCCCTGAGTTCTGCTGATTTGTAGGCGTTTCGAACTTCTTCGACGTTGGTGAACTCTTGCCTGGGGACGTCTGCCAGGAGGCTGCCCTGCTCCGGCGATCGTTCCCTAATGACCTTATCCGGTAGGAGTTCGGCTGTGAGTACTCTCAGCGCGAATTCTCGCGGTTCTTTGATGATTAGTTTTTGGACAGGTGACGGCTTTCCTACAGCTGATCGCTTAGGGAAGCACTTTTCGAGCGCGAGCTGGTTATTTTCTTGCGCTATCGCGTCGCTCGTTTGGAAGAGTAGGTCGAGCCACTGGACGAACGTCTTCCCATTAAAACTTAGCCTGTCACTCGTAGCGGATGGGTGTTCGTTGAAGAAGTCAGAGATTAAGTCGTACTCAGTCATAGCTATAGTTGCGTCGCCATGACTTCTCTCGATGATGAATTCTAGCGGTAGTGTGTCCTTCATACATTTCGGTCTCCCTTCGTATGGTTTTGGTTCAGTTGTGACCTTCCGGAGTTTGGGCTCCTTACTGTTTGTTTCCGAGTTGGTGCGTTTGCTTGATGAGGAGTCTCCCCTTTGTTCGTCTTTGGTCACGTGGTTTGGGGGTTCACTGGCTGGCAGGTCTTTGGGCTCTACCACAGTGTCCTTTGAGCAGTCGCGCTGCTCGGCGGGCAGCATTTCTGCGTCGCTGTTTTGCTGGCGGTCGTCCATGCTGGCCTGTTCGTGGGTTTTTGGTCACCCATTAGGTCACTTGTGAGTTTTCCGTATTAAGTCTTACCTGCAAGGCCCTTTACCGCACATTACGTCGGATTTCAGGGTGTTCTTGCTCTGTGTTGTGTCCTATTTTCTACGTACAGGCTATCAATAGAGCTAAGAGCGTTCCTTTAAAGATCTACTTGTTAGGGTACCTATGCCGGGTGCTCCTTTGGAGAAGGAGACCCGGGAAGCGTTTCGCTCCTTTTTGAGGGCTCCTCTTAGTGTTTCGCTCTGCGTTGCGAGAACTTTGTTCGCCTTTGCGAGGCTGTCGATACTTTTCAGTAGTCGGAGCCTCTCAGCGTTGTGTGGTGGTACTGCTTTGAGGTCACCTACGATGGCCTCGCAAACTTCGTGCGGTGCCGGCGCTAGTAACTCGGTCGGTACTAGGGTGGTCGCGTCGCAGTGGTCGGCTAAGGCGATGGATATTTCGTTTTTCGGGATGCCTAGCCGCTGGAGGCGTAAGACTTCGATGGGTGTCTCTTGTTGGATCGGGCTTCTCGGCGAGGATGGACCTGCGTGTAATGGGGGCGATAGTCGTGCTAGGGGTACAGGTTCAGAACTCTCATGTTGAAAATCGTCCTAATTTCTTACTTCTTAGCCACGGATAACTAGGGTCTATCCTGAGCTTTACCTTCTTCTTGTTGCTTCTTATCACATGCACGCTGCTTCTTTGCTGGGGGTTTCTTGACAGAATCCCCCGATTGCAGTTTCTGGCCACTTTTGCTGCGGTCTCGCTTGTGATGCTGTAGAACGTGGGCCGGGGTACTGAAGGTGCTTCTCTGTTCTCCAGAGCTGCGTGGAGTTGCTGCTCCGTTAGGGAGGCACACGGGCGTACTACCTGGGTAGTTTTTGAACACATGTAAGCTATTGCTGTCAGCTACTCAAATGTTTTGATAGCAGCTCCCCATACAGTGGTGACTATGGTGACTATCAGCGTCGTATGGTGATTGGGGATGTCTGCCTAGTTTGCTATCTCTCACTATGAAGGTGCTAAGAAAAGACCGGACCGCCCTAAAGTAATCATTGACAGTCGCTACTACTACATCTACTCGCCACCTGTGTGCAACCTACATCATTGAGTGACTATCGTGGCTCTATTCTTGAGTGTCAGGAGATGGAGATGGCTTTTGCTGTATCAAGGGCGCGGTCTCAGTGAGGCTAACAACACTACTCGGATGCTACATGATCAATCAACCCCGGAGAGGTTCACGCTAGTCCTATCGTATGTCTCATCCTAGCTCCAATCTCATGGCATACAGCCAGCACCTGCAGGCGTGTGAAGGGAGCACGATGGTGATGGTGTCGATGCGGCGGGCAAAGCCCTTTCCGAGGCTAGGAGGAGCAGGCTGCTACGGGTAGCTGCTTGCTGTGGTGTGAGCTGGAGGGTCAGGTTGTCGCTGGTCGTCGTTTTTGGCGGAGTTAACGGGAGGAACAAGTTGCTAACCGACGACGAGGTTGATCGGGATGGTGACGGTGGATCTGCTTTCGGGGTCACCGCTGAAGTACCTGGTTGATATTTCGGGTAAGGTGATGCTTGATGAAAGTCAGATGTTTACTATTGTTGGCGCACAGCTGGCGAGGGTCCTGCCTCTTGAATTCATTCATTACAGAATTAACGAACACCTGCGCCAGTTGTGCTATGTTGCTACCTTCGTTTCTAGCAAGGCTCTCTCTATGTTTATCACAAACCATGAATAACCTGTAGAAACCTTCTTTCTCTTCGTCAGTTATCTTGGCGATGGCGGCGGAGTAGGAGAATGGTTTCTTGTCGAGAGCTGGTAGGCCGTCAGGGTCAGGAGTCTCGCCGCTCACTGCAGGAACTGATGTGAGTGTTGGTTTCGTTATATAACAAGAAAGAAACGCGCGTGACGTGACTTTCACCTGATGCCGGTGGTGAGTCTCCGGTCTATGACAGTGAGTAGCTCATGTTCGTTACATATACTAGCGAGCAGTCTATTCAAAATCTGAGAGAGTGTGTGAGTTATTGGAGATATGAAGCCAAGTCATCGCAAGTACCCGAGTGCGCTCGACGTTTTGGGAAGGCTTGCAGCTTGCCAGAGGCTGAGGGCATCCTTGTGCTTCTCGATAGTGAAGAAATCAAGCTTCTACGTTAGGGTGTGGTTTGGAATGTATGACTTTGGGATTTCGTATAGATATATTTGTGATTCTTAAAGCAACAACGTAATAAAGCAACAACAACGTAATAAAGCAACAACGTGTTACGTTTTACATATTTAGGTATGTGTGTGACATGTGTTATCTCATGGCTACGCCTCTCAGTCACGGTGTGCATGCGTGTGCATCTCGTACGGTGGGTTGTCTCAGTCAAGGAACCGACTGTTTGTCACCCGATCCTATCAGACAAAAAAAGAGAGGAAGAAAAAACCGCATACCGATACTTTCAACCGAGGACACATTGCCATACTGTGGGCCATACTGTGGACCATCACCATTCTATCAGTTCCATGACAGATTCCATTGTTCGACTCAAGCAACCGACGAAGCGGTTGCGTTTGCTCCTTTCCTTTATGATTTCGGAACAGGTACATCGATGAGGACAGGCGGCATCCTGCACTTCTCGCATTCACCTTCTTAGGGGCGCGATAACTACTCGCAAATAGGAAAATGAGGCACGTGCTTGCGTTATATCTTGCGTTATATTGTGGTCTTGTTATAGTATTAGTGATGATTTCATGTGTCATGCAACATGCAATATCATCACCATGCGCGCGGCCTGTTGTAGTATTGAACAGCGCAACTCAGCTAGGCTAATAGACTGGCGATCTATCAACCCCAGTCCATGTGCCATGTAGTCCTCTGTCATGTGCGCTCCACGGTCTCCCCTTAAGGCTCATACGTCTGCCGCAGTCTGCTCCACTCGGTACGCGCATACTCGGATCATAGGTTAGAGGCATGCGTTACGAAAAAATACCCCTACTTTTTCGGTCGTTATTTTCATCCATGGCCGTGTTTCAAAAATTACGACCGAAAAACTACCCCTACTTTTTCGGTCGTTATTTTCATCCATGGCCGTGCTTTAAGGCTCATGGCCTTTCTACATTGTAGCTACTATGAGTCTGACATATAGGGTAGAGTGAGCCTTAGGCACATAATCAATCCAAGCACTCGCTTAGTCGGTTAAACCGCGGGGCAATGTAGAGGCCTTTCGCAAGAGCCTGCGATGCTGCCTTTATCTCGCTTGTGGGATGCGGTTTCCCGTAGTTGAGTGCTAGCACTGCTTCTTCGGCTTCACACTGGCACTCGATCGCACGGGCGATTCGGCGGAGCCAATAGAAGATTTGGCTTACTTCCATCGCGATGATCGCGAGGAAAGCCACCAGTGCTGCACTGACTGGCTCACCACCTGCCAACTTGGCTGCGTATGCTGCTGCCACTATCGGCATCGCGACTGCATGCTCGTACGCGATTAGGTCTCTCATTCTTCGAGCGGATCGCTTGACAATTGTCATCATCTTGTGCTGATTGTGTAGTAGATTGTTTGTTCTACCGTGTGCTTCTATGCAGTCAGCTTATTACTTTGCACTGTGTTCTTTTTCATCTAGGTGATGTATATGCACCAGTTTCTTTGCTCTTGGCTTTTCTATGCCATTGGCGTTCATCGCAATTTCCTCAGCTGACTCTCAGGCGCTACCTGCGGAATTGTCTCTCGACTGGTCGGAGAGTTTGTGCACAGTTGTTTTGGTTCACTTTGTGTAAGTCTGACGCATCTCTCTTGAGCGCGCTCACCGTTGAAGATGATGTAGTTAGTGTGATGGCTTCTTGATAGTAGTTCAAGAATTTCTCATCTAGGACGACGCCCAATGGTTTTCCTTTACCTATGGGCGATGGGTTTCACTCTTGCCCGAAGTTGACGATTGGCGCAGATGGATATTGCCCCAAAATCAATGCTACTTCGAGGCTCCATATTGGAGGGGAATTTCAATTGCGCCAGGTGTACAGTGGTATCCCTGTTCGCAGAGAATTTCCCAGAGAAACTCAAGATTCCAGCCATCACACATTATTCCATAACTTCACCTTACTCCTCATCCTACTTAATACTTCCCAAACGAGAACGACCGCTATGGGATACTTAATACATATCATGAGAGAGTACCTGCAAAACCAGGTCTTCGTGCACGTCGGTAAGATCCGAGTGCTGCAAGTGCTGGAGGAACTCTGCCCAATCTTCATGTTGTTCACAAGCAAGGAAATTCGGATGCTCCAGAGCCTCCACACCAACATCGGGTATAAGTAGAGATGTTGTGCTAGTGCTTGTTCTGAAGATTGCTGTGAAGAAAAAGAGCAGGACTATTTGTAATTGCACCATGATGAAGATGTTCTGGAGGATCTGCGTCCTCATCCTTGAGTCGTGGAAGAGGTGGAGCTTCATCATGTTTGCGTTTTTCGTCATTTTCTGCTATGCCAGAAGACCCGCTTCACACGTGCTTGTATTTCACTAGTGTAGTGTCCATCGCCTTGGCAGTGCGCGTCGTCTTGCCAGCACCACTCCCTCAGAGCGTTATCGTTTTTTACTATGAGTACGTCCCCGTGGTCCTGCGCTTCAATGCTTAGTGTGCGTCATCTTTTCGGACTCGTACTTTCTGAAAAACTAACATAACTCAGTGTTTCCCTCATCTGATCTCTCATTCTGCACTGTCCTTGTAGATCTTGTCTTACTGGACTTGCTCCCTCTACTCTCCACTTACTCATGATGATCTTTTACGATCGCTTTTTCCTTGGTGTTGGTTGATCGTTTCTTTCTCAGATGACTCAGAAGATCGTCACTCCGGAAGCCTTCAACTTGAACAAGGGTATGTTTGAGATCGTCCACACTGAGCTTCCCCTGAAAACACGAGTGCTTGCGCTAGACGAACACGTCAGCGAAAAAGGCAAGCGAACAGCACGACGAGCATGGCTTCTAGAGAGAAGAACAAGGACAAGCCTCAACAACATTCATTCAATGCTCAGGATCTTGTTCACTATTGCGTAGCTTTTCCTCGTCGTCTCATTGCGTTGAAATAGTTTCTGTTTCTTGGAGCAGACTAACATTATGACACAAGACAATATCAATGTCTTTGTTTTGGTGAAAACACAACCGCCATTGCGCGTTTTCTGACGAAGCCATGCTTAATTTCGTTGAATATAGCTCTTCTGCAGCTCCACGATCACCTTCTGCTCTCTTACTTCGTTCTAACCGCGGTTGCGTGAAGATACGCTCCCCCCGAAACCGAAAGACCTCTACTTCAAATTCAATGATGTTTCTTCAAAAACTCCACAACCATGGTCATCGTCTTCTCAACTGCTGCTTTTACTTCTGGATTGGACACGTCGCCACGTGAGAACCACCCATGCTGCTGTTCTGGGAAGTCGAAGGTTTCGGCTTTGAGAATTTCTACTAGTTCACCTCCAGCCTTCACGTTCGGAGGATCGTTGCCAGCGTGGCATGAAAGACGAGGATAGGGATAGGAGTAGGTAGAGCTGGGTTGTTCTTCTTGTTGATTTTTTTTTGAATTTTGGCAATCATAAGAAGTAGACGTCAAGTCTACTGTGAATGTGATGTCTGTCGTGACACAACCACAAGTACGAATCAAAATGCAAGAGAATACAGACGATTTTTGACATTCAATGAATTGATGTTGTACTGCGACGTGCGCGTCCCATCATAAAGTGATCAAAAGAACTGGCAAGGCACCTCCTGCTTTCTCCACTGCTTTCTTGCACATGTCTTCTTGACTGCGTCCGAAAGCAAACTGCTCTAACTGAAGATTAGAAGAACGATGAGAATATCCTGCTCGTCGTACGTCTAAGTTGTACATTTATACCAGTAACCAAAAACGCTTCTGCGTTCTAGTAGACCTACGTCTACTAGAAAGATGAAATGCGCTTGAAGAATAAATAACCCATGCATAATGATCGAAGGGTGAGGACCAAGTCCGCACCTCAGCTTCAGGTCGCCTTCTGCCACTCCCTGAACCCATGCCCATGTGCCCCAACAATGTCCTATGGCCGACAAGGATGTAGCTGGAACTCCTTTCGACTCGAAATACGACACTACCTATGTATTATGTTCGAGTTCTTGTAATTGTAGGTCTAGGTCGTGTTGTAAATGTTGTGGAGACCACTACTCATTCCTCAGCCAAAAAACAAGAACATATACGCATACCTTGGCCAAATCTTTCGTTACTGGATTCTTATCGTCACATTCTTTGACCCAAGCTGGTATATTTTCTTTGCCCTTCGCCGAATCCCCACGGTGACAATCAGGCATTACAACGAAATACCTGGTCGTGGACAAAACGGGTACGAGCACGAGGTCATCTAGAACTCGAGCTAGAACAAGATACCAGGAACAAGACGAGAACTACATGCTCTGGTAGTTGGTGGTTCTGGTAATTATAAATACTAAGTCCTCTCAGTATTCTTGTCAAGAATACGGCTGGCTCGGTAGAGGCTATCTAAGAAGCGAGTCGTGGAGTGATCGTTACCAGAACCATATGAACTTCTTGAAGATGAGCGCCTTGAGCGTCCTCAGAAAGTCAAAGTACTGGCGATAGTACCCATTCTCCGCAATGGTGTCACATATGTTCTTCAGCCTTCCTTCAAACCCAAAAATTTCTGGCAACACGATAACTCCCTTGCCCGTTGCCGCGTCGCCGGACACGTATATTGGCATTAGAGTGCGCTTGTATTTCGGTCTTCCCAAAAATCCCAGCTCGGTACCTTTTCCCTAGCCCTAAGCCCAGTGCCTATTCCCTAAGCCCTCAGAACCTGCCCACTGGGAAAAGTGTATCCGATCTTCGAGATGCTGAGAAAGCTGGTGGATAAAAGCCGATCATAATGGTATGTCCTGGTCGATCACTGATAGCAGGCCTTTTGGTTCGTAGTCCTTATCTGCGACGAGCAAAGGCCAGGAGCCTGGAGGACAGCAGGATTCGGCCATTTTTTGTTGTTAGATCGTAGTTAGATACTCGTTAGATTTAGATGGTTGAGTGACTCTTGTTGTGTGGTTGTGGTGAACAAAGTTGTTGAAGCTTGGTTGTTCACGAAGACAACTTGCTTTCTCACATCCTTCTTCAAGGAGAAAAAATGAAAACTGTCAGCATAGGCATATATTGTCTTTATGCCCGCTTGCGATCCTTCGACCTGTTGAAGAAAGAGTAGAATCCTACAACTAAGTTGTAAAGATCCAAGTCCACCAGGCCAGACTTGCCAGAAGGATCCACAGTCTACGCGTTGCCAGAAGGATCCACAGTTGATCCGATCAAGCGGATCCCCGGATCTTTGCTACTTATGTTAGATCTTTGCCCTTTGATTCGCATGTTTTCCAAAAAATGTCCATCTCGCCAGAAGGGGGAGTATGAGAGAGATCCCGTCAGCCTCCCTTCTCCTCCTCGTCGGCGCATAATTGCTGCAACGATTTGCTTTTTCTACGTCTACTGAGTCATTTTGATTTCTGTGAGAGGATATTGCTCAGTCACATTGTTGGTGGTACAACTTGTCAAATCTCCTTCGCGCTTGGCGAGCGCTAGGTGGCCTTACGCGTGTGTCGTATCGGATAATACGTGGCTGTCTTGAAGACTTCTACGTGCATAAAAACAGTGCTGGAGACCGATGTGACTCAGACGGTGCCTCTAAGTAACTGCGTTGTACGCGTATTTAGCTCATCTACATCTACTACTACAAAATTGACTCTGCAAAAAAGACTTCGTGCGGGCTCTGCCTGTGCTGTCACTGTAAGAAAAAGTTCTTCGAGTAATTAAAAATTGTAACACTCTATTATCCTGTTCAGGTTCTTCATCATGATCATTCGCTTTCATTCGAAATAGTTCTGTTGGTTACATAATCATAATCCTTCTATCCAGTAGATATGCATAACTTCTCGCGTTTGTGTACTTTCTGATGTTTCATACGTCATATGCTGTTCTTTGTCATAGTGTTAGTTTGCGCGTCTTCATAATTCTATCTGAATTCAAAATCTTATTTTTAGAGCTCCCTTTTTTATATCTTTTTACTTGTTGCTGTTGCTCTCTTGGTTCCGGTACTCGTCCGCGTTCTTTGCAGTATCGCATTTCACTACCCGTTTGTACCTCTTGTACAACATGAGCAGCATGTGATGTTGTGGCCGTAGTCCGTACTTTAGACTAGGCCGACGCCCTCATGTTGTCGTGAAAAGACTCGTAGAGCCCTTTCAGTTCAGTTTCCATGAAGTTTACGGTCTGCTCCAACCTCTGAGCCTCAAACTCTTCCTCTGACAGGAGCGCTGCGAGGAAACGATATAGCGCCATCAACTTCTGGAGCAACACTTGTCGTGGTGAAAGGTTGTTCGGAAAAGTGGCCGAGTAGTTAGTAAAACGATGGCTTCTCTGCGATGAAGTACTCAATTTGTTCGAAGTCCTTGCAGGGGTACGGCGGCGGACCTGTTGTGGTTTAATGTGCTAAGAAGGTCTTGTACTTGTTCAGCATCATGATCAAGAACTTTAACTTGTTGACATTGACAAGAAGGTATCTATGTATGCGTCATGATGAAAAATCAAAATGAAGATATTCGCGGTCATTGAGTATGTTAAACAATAATTTCTTAGGCAGCACTTCTGACTTGTTACCGGCGACACCGCTCCTTGGTAAATGTCCACCAAAAGATCGCGGCTAGCGGGAGACTCCTTCCCGATTTGATTAACCAAAGAATGAATGATGTCTGGTGCGATTCGCAGATATTGCTTCCCAACATTAGCGTTCCAATGACGGGCCTGACTATGCCGGGTGGATTAATTTGATGACAGTCAACATGCTTATGCTCATGCGGATTATCCGATAGTACTCAGGTATGTAAGCTTGTTTACCTGTAAATTACAATTCGTTCAAAATATCAAATTGACATATTTCCATCATGTATCATTCCCCTGTTAATATTTGCGCCACTAAAGCCATGTTTGGAAAGGAAAATTTCAAAAAAATGTTTGGAAAGGAATTTGAAAGTACATCCCTCAGCTTCTGCTTCAAGTGTGCGAATTCGGTATCCTTGTTGTACATCGTTAATGCTTTCGCGCTCAACTTCCCGTCAGCATTTTGCGTTGCTACCGAAATTAGAAGTGAAGATAATGTATGATAGTATCAGAGGGGGCCATGATGATGCTCACCCGAATTTGTTGTATTTGATTTCATTTTCGAGGTCTTTTTTTTTCTATGCACACGAGTAGCTATCCATGAGGAACCAAGAGCGAAGGGAGAAGCTCTTCAACAATGTGTTTTACAACTTGCTATTCGCTATCGCTTTCCCAAACGAAGCATAAAGCCAGTATTTTCTTCATGTGGCCGAGAAGCGATTTGTGAAGTTTCTTGCCATCTTTCTCCACTGAAGCGAGAAGTTGCAGCATCTGCTCACTTGGACAGGCAAAATTAAGCTCCGAAACTTGATGATTCGCAACAAGATACCGTTTTTTGGCTTCGTTAAAAACGTCGAGGTTAAACATATGAAACACGCCGTCGTTGCTCGGGTCTTGGTCGGAGGTTTTAGAAAGCGAAAGTAAAAACAGACACAGAGTAAGTGTAAAGAGAGTACTAGATCATGCTAGCAGTTCATCTTGTCTTCGAGATATCTCCTGTTGAGACTTTATTCAAGCTTGTTTTCATTTCAAATTTCTCCAAGGAGTCCAAGTTCCAGCCGTACCTTCACCAAAATCAAATGCCAGCTCTGATGAACCGGGAACTACAACAGTGTCTTCTGGAGAGTCAGAATTCGGATCGATCACCTTTCTCCTCACTCTTGGCCTATCATAGTTGCCTCGTGGTCGTAGTCCAAAGTCGGGGGCTCCTCCACTATCATGTTTCGCGCGGCCGCGATCTTTTTTTACTTAGAGGGAAGTCACTCGCATTTGGAATCTCAGATTAGGTAGCTCGGGGCTCTGCTCCCAGAATAGAATGAGAAGAAAAAAACACTAACACAGTTCCAAGATACTTCTTCTCAATCCCATGAAGATTGTACTCCACTAGGTAGCATCGAAGTAAGGCACTTACTCCTTGACCTCATAGAAGTAAGTCACTTGTTACTGTAAGTCGTGTAAGTCTTCATCTACAAGTTGTACTTAGTTACATAAGTCTATTCTACAAGTAGCACAACTTCCTTCGATCAAGAAACAGGCCATAATCATTTCCCTGGATCTCCTCTGCCTCATTCCTTCCTCCAGCTACTTCATGCAGTATTTCGTCTTGTCTTTGCTGCAAACCTTGCTCCAAATGACAGAAGTCTTCCACTGTCCGCAGAACGTTCCAGGCCTCACGCTCGAAGAGGATACTTCGCAGCTTTTCTTCGTATTTCACCACGAAAGACACGATATAGGGATGTTGTAGGCCACCGGGATGTTCACGTGGTGGACGTGGTGGCCTAGTATTGGAAGCTGTTTCTGTTTGCCCCTCCTCGTCTGGCATTTCAATGTGGTTCTTCATCACTTTCGAAGCTGTTTCTCTTTGCCTCTCCTCGTCTGGCATTTCAATGTGGTTCTTCATCACTTTCGAAGCTGTTTCTCTTTGCCTCTCCTCTTCTGGTACCACATGGTACTTCTTGTCCAGCATAGAGGGAGGTAGACGAGTTGTTGCGCTCACAAATGAAGAACAGTCGTCTGGCTCCACCTCGTGTTGATATCCTTCTAGGGAGTTGTATTCGTAGCCACCACGTTGAAGAGCCTTATTTTTTGAGTCTTCGCGATTTAGGATTAGAGAAAACAAGCTCAAGTTCTTGTTGCAACAGAACAACTAACTTAAGAAACGAAAGCATCTGTAAGTATGACTAATCATGACTAGTGACAATCTAGCGCCGTAAGATTGAATCTTGTTGCCGCTGTCGCATCAAGTCCTCAGAAAATGGTGTAAATCTTGACGATGCGAAATTTGCGCCAAGATTGGGTCCAGGACCCGACTTGTAGTCGGACTTGACAACTCCATCATCAGTTTCCTCCTGACGCTGTTCCGCTGGCATTGAGCTCCTTATTCTAGGCCCGCCAAGCTCCTTTGGCGTTGATGAACCTGCTAGTCTTCCAGAGTTTCCCGCTGTAGCTGAAAACGTCTTTTTCTTTCCTCCAGCAGCTGCCTCTCCCACAGATTCCGAACTTGTTTCACGCATAAATTTGTTTCGAAGATCAGATGCCAATGCCCCTGGCTGCCTAGTCTTGTTGCGACCATCACCATTTGCAGACGACCCGTTTCCACCTATGAATCTGTTTCTCAGATCAGCTCCTAAAGCTCCTGGTTGTCTACCATTTCTCACAGACGAACCATCGCCCACACCATTGTCGCGCCGCCAACTTGCATCCCCTTTGACACTAGTGCTCTTCATCCTACTGCTAGCGGAGTAGGCATCCTCCAGACCCCACAAAGAAACAAGTCCTCCTGGACCTTGCTTCTGTTCTTCGTTTGGATCATCATGTGCTGCCTCTCGAACGTTTCTTGGGCCGTCATCAAGTAGTTGGTCGTTGACATTGTAGTGATCATCGCTGTTGTCAAACTTGTTTGGCGAATAGTAATCTTCACCCTCGTCGTTCATTTGCTGCTGATCAACTCCTTCATCTGGCTGACCTAGACCTACTTGTTCTCCGCCTCGATCATCATGTCCGTACCCGTAGCCCTGACGACTCCTTGTTCGAGATGTTGAAGCATCATCTCCGCTCTCACGTGAATCTTCACGCCTATAATCTTCATGACACTTCTTCTGATAATCACGATCAGCATCATCAAAATGCTCTCCTCCTCCTCGAGCCCGACCGCCGCTTCCTCTTCCACTACTGCGACCACGACCCAGACCCTGCTCCATTTCCACATGGTCTTCTGCATCATCAAGACGACTTCTGCTTCTTCTATTCTCCACCTGGTCGTTACCTTCATCTTCTGCGTCGTTACCTTCATCATCTTCAAAGTAGCGACTCTGTTGACTAGTTTCGTTGTGATCAAATTCTCGTCCGCATGGACCATGTTCATCTTGCGCCTCTGCTTCTCCCGAGGGGATTCCTCTTGGTCTTCTCAAATCCCAACGACGTTTTGTCGCCTCAACTACGTTCTCCTCCCTCAACATTTGTCTCCGTTTAGCAGCAGCTGACCTTGGAGCACTCGAAGAAATACTCCTCACCGACGAAGGCTTGGAGGATGCATTGCGAGCGGCATAGAAGCTCCTGTTGGTGCTTCGATCAATACTTCTTCCTTCGTCTCGACCGCGCGGTTGGGGAGTTTGATGATTATTCTTCGGATTGTTCCCTCCACCTCCACCTCTTGAAGAGTAGAAATAATCATTTTTGGACCTAGAAGACGACGTTTTGGAAGTAGGATGGTCCCTAGGATTTCTTGTACCAACATTGCCAGCAGCAGGATTTCTACCAGCACGATTACCTCCCACACCTGTCTTGAAACTGCCTTTCTTATCAAACAGGAAGTCGGACTTGAATGTTCGGCCACTAGTACCACCCCGAGGAGGACCGCCGCCGTTCCTTTGCGAAGGTAGTAGTGAACTCACTGCACTGCTTGTCTCGTCTCTTGATGTTCTCTGACGAGATGAAGATGCGCGATAGTCTCGGCCTCTACTCGCACTCTCTTGCCTGCTAGATCTCGATGATGTCCTAGACTCCCGAAGATGCTCGTGGCCTGATGACGTTCCTGACTCTCTCGATGTGCGCCCTTTTCGTTTCGTGTCCTGTCCATCGTCATCCTGCTCGTCTACTAAATTGAAGTTTCTCCCGATATGCTTGACACTTCGTCTAGTCCTCGTGGATGGCGAAGCGCAGCGTTGAAAAAGAGAGTCCTCGACATCTTCGCGGAAAATGAAAATCAAGAATGGTAAATAGTTTCAGGTGTTTCATGAAAATCAAGAAAATCACAGTCATGCCTAGATATTAACTAAAGCCCCACAAAATTACTTCTAGCACGACGGAATCGCATAAGTACAAACAAACAAATCTTTGGGCTTGGAGAAGGAGACTGTCATATCTTCTTCCTCCACGCGTGAACTGTCTCTAGACCTCTCTATACCTCCACGTGTCTCTATACCTCTAAAAACCTCCACATTTTCATTTGTGATGTCAATGTGGAGGCAGTAGTTCCCACCAAGTTGCTATTTGATGTTAATAAGAAAGGGTTCTTTTTAGAGGTAGGTTTTTGGGGTTCGTTTATCCCGCTTGTTATGGCTGTCCCCCTTAGGAGAGCCATAACAAACGGCAACAAAAGCAGCTGACATATCTTCTTCCTCCACGCGTGAACTGTCGATCGGACGAACAGACGACAGTACACTCAGATTCGGCGTTAGCGCTGGTTGAGGGGTCCTTGAGTGGCTTCTTCGATTGACATGATGATCGGAGCGTGCTGGTTTGTTGTAGTTGTAGAAGAAGTTGCTCGTTTTATTTGTTGTCCTTTCGCCACCTTGATATCGTTGATGTTGATACTCTTTGTTGATGGAGTCGCGTTTATCTTCCGAACCTTGTCGTGGTTGTGGGCCATGGCGCTCACGACTTCGTCTACCCTGCTGCTGTCCTAGTGCGTCGTCACGATCTTGCTCCATGCGCCTTTCATCCAATGATAAGTAGTCTTCAGAGGCCTTTATATCTCCTCTTTGAGCATCAAAATCGTCAGACACCTCGTCTCCACTTTGAGCACGATGGAGTCGTTGCTCATTTGGGTCTTGTATCCCCTGGTCCTCTGAGGTAAACACGAACCCCATTTCGCTCTTGCGCCACCGCGCACCTCGTTGTGGAACCCCTTTGTAAGGCATTACCATTTCGCGACCTGTTGCTGCAGGGGTTAGAAGAGGACAAGTTGTAGAAGGACAAGGAGTGGAAAAACAAAAAGAGATTGAGACTCATTACCTACTACATACTTGAGGTCCGTTGGCTTGGTTTAGGATTGTGAATCTCTACTTCTAAACAGCACGACAGTCAGTTCCACACGACGAAGATGTGACATCGCCGAAGTCCTCTAGATTGCCATAATTGTTCCAGAATATTGCTGTTGTTCATGCTTATGCAGCTTCGACTACGCCCAAGGCCCTCTGAGGTATGCGAGAATGATGCGTCATGCTCCTCTTCCCTCGCTTCTACAGGATAGAGGAACGAGTCCTCGCCTCCCTCATATCGTTCCTCCTGTCCCTCCGCATTGTAAGGGTCTTCTGTCGCTGCATACCCTCCAACGGAGGACACTCTGGAACGAGCAGAGGTCTGGCGAGACACTGCAGCTGGTTGTCCACCATTCCTAGTCCGAAAATTTCCTGCGCGTGTCTTAGGCAATGGCGAAATCAGGTTTGTGCTTTTCCTCGGGAGGAGGTAGTCGCCGCCTTTGAGTTAGGAAGAACAAAAAGTACCCCTTACTACTTCGGAGATGGATTATTTGTATTGTTCTGGTATTTGGTAGCATGATTTTGATCATAAGGGAAAACAAGAAGAGAATCCTTGTGATCAATAAATTCATTATTGGCACGTAGAACGCAAGTAAATTCACGAATTCGCTTCGAAGACTACAAACAAGAGCTAAATAACTTGTAGAAACTTGTTGTAGTAGAAGTAGTAGATGAAGATAATTCAACCTCGTCTTACGCAGACTATGCCATAAATGTAACTTCTATGAGGTGGAATGCGGTGCCCTGTGCGGGACGCCGCGCCCTTCGTCTTCGATGATCGTGTTTCGCCATCGACACAAGAGACCGAAATACTTGGTACTGGTGAGGAGACCGGCATCTTCAACGGCAAAGGAGGTCAAGGTCTTCTTTATAGTCAATCACAATCAATGTGAAAGAATGTTGTAGTTGCCATTTTTTTGGTTTTAGTTCTAACCTTGTGCCTTTTCTCTTTCGTCAGGAGACCTTTACCTTTCAGTCTGGAACAAGAATTGTTTTTGCGACGTGTGTAATTTGGAAACTTCTGCTTGTAGATTTTCGTTTTCGATTGAGATGTCATTGAAATTGAGAGTTTTTACGTTTACCACTTGTTAGTAATAGAATGTCACGACCAACGCCAACTGTAGCTATTGACTTCTTTTGGTTTTTCGGCCAGGCTCCAGCAAAAGAGGCTCATCTCTCCTCCGACAGGAACTTAAGTTCATACTTTGGAGCATTTCTCCATCTCACAACATTGAGAAGATGGCTACTTTTACTTACCTCATGTTGTTCGTACTCAAATTCAATAATGTTCATGACAATCTACTTGTTCAATACAGAACAAGTTCATCAAGTTTAAGTTTATCCGACTAGATCAAATTCAAATCGTGAAAGTGCACACGGCCAGTCCGACTCCAACAGCGACAAGGATACTGGCAACGGCAAGACAGAGAAGATTAGAGGATTAGTGTGCTGCCCACTACCACTAGGTCTTTTTCAGAAGTTCTTGTTGTTGTTGTTATTGTTGTTGTTGTTGAAGAATATGAGTATGAATATGAATAAAGAAAATAAAGTTGTAAAAGTACTAGTACTTAGTGCTAGTACAGAATGTATTTGAGCGCAGAGGAACTACTTTACATCTACCAAAATGGAGCCATACCAATTATCAATTTTCGATGGGGAAACTTCTTCCGTTTCGTCACCAAAGGTGCTGCATCTGAAATCTCCAGATTTCTTTTGCTGGACGACCGGTGTGCGGTAGCTTCTAAGAGGCTCTTTTTGGAGTCCTCTTTCCACTGCCTCGGAGACTGCTGCGTCAAACTTTCCTGCTCCAACCTGTATGCTTCTACGACGATTTCCAGAAAACAGAGTGCCAGAATTCTCCTGTAAAAGTGTCGACCTCCCCCCATTTTGTTGTGACAAACTAGTCCAGTACATCCTTGGTGTGGAGGAGCTACTTTTTTGAGGAAAGCGATTTTGATTGACCAGCTCCAGTACTCACCTATCTGCTCACGTGGGGAGCCTTATTACGAGAGTAACCAAGTAGCAGTACAGCTGCATTTTGTCAAAGCGTTGTCACTGTTCTTTCATGACGAGGACCACCCTACTGCTTTTCAAAATAATATGCCTTTTTTTTTGCGAGCAAGAAGTACGACGTTTATTCAGCTACAACCCGTCACGATTCCTTGACAGATTCAAAGTCTCCTTGTGCCTCATCACCCTCAATCCTCAGAATACACCCCACCTAGTCCCGTTCCTCTCTTCAGCGTTGAGGTACGAGTTACAACTACAGGAACGTCGCGAAGCTTACAAAAGAGTGCTCAGTTTGTTCCTTTATCTGTGCGTAAAGAATTCGCTTCAAATCCTTGGGGTTCATCTATCAGGGGGCGTTGATGTCGGGACGAGGTGCGAAAAAGTAGGGATGGAGAGATTTTATTGCCAGTTTCTCGCTTACACAAGAGCGGCAACCTTCTTGAGGGTAAAACTACAATACTTTGTGGCTGTGGGATGATCCGTTTGCGTTTAATGACTAAATGAAGATATAAGTGACTGACGAAGTGGGGGCGTCGTGGGGGCTGACGGAATGATATAAGTTGTGACGTCGTGGAGAGAAATTCTATACATAGAGATCGACTTCGTGCCGCGATCTACCAAGGACGTACTTGTTTATCCCTGCTAATCTGAAGGCGCGAGTGAGGTATCGCGGGAAACAGCGTTAGCGTCTCAACATAGTACTCGTGCTGCTACTTGTATTGCAAAACTCTACTTGTGAGCCTTGCTTCTCTATGAAAAAAGTTGAGATATCTTACTCCATCTTCTGCCATTAAAAGATGACTCTTTGAGTGAGACTGAAGTCAGAAACTACCTAACGAGATAAGTATAAGTCTAAGTACTTCAATTTTTTCTATGACCTCAATATGCGACATAAGTTTTTTGTCAATTGCGCGACATTCTGCAATTACGATTGCGAAGACTTTTAAGAACCTGCGTGATCTTCTCCTCTGTTGGATGGTAGAATCGGCGACGGATCTCTTGCTCTTGGCGATGACCACTAAGTCTTCTGAATGATCTGCGACTGTAGTACCTTTGGAATTTGAGCGTTCTCCAAAATGCGTGTTCGACACAACTCCTTCAGAATTTTGTGGTCGTTCAAATCGTTAGAGGCATGGGTAGCTGTGCTGTTATTGTCTTCTAACTCTAAGGGGAGAGGTGTCAACCATTTTCGCATTTATGTGGAGGAGGAGGACTCCATCATTGGACACATGAATCCGTTGTATGGGGCTAAAGTCGCCGTGGTATACTGCTCATGTCTTTGTTCAGCATGAGACCACAAGAAGTACTCTGCCAACGGAGTGTGCATCAATCCACTACAACAAACATTTAGTTGAAAATGAAAGAGACCACAAGTAGCCGAAAGAGGTTCACTCTCTTCGCCTCCCATAACATTCAAGACTCCATCAACCAAACGAGCGATGCTAACGACCTCGCCTCTCTTATGGCGTCCAGCTCTCCCAGATCGGTCTTCGTAGATAGGCGTAATCCTTGGCAAATCGAAATGGATAACGAGCCCGACCTGTGAGTGTGAAGCAAGTCAAAAATGTATACTGTATAATAAAGAAACTCAAACTCAATGGATTTGAGTGAGCTACTTACTGCAGAAAGAAACAAGGCGACTACGTTCTTAATATCCAAGCTGCTACTTGCTACATCGGACGCAACAAGCACGTGTGGCCTCGAGTTTGAACGCACAGCCGATATGACTTTTCGCCTCTTCTCTTGCTTCATATCGTCGCCGCCACAGAGCCACTCGAGCTTCATGCCGGAAATCATGAATGAGGAGTTCTTTCAGACTAATTTCAAATAGCTTGCGAAGATATCGCATTATACCCGCTAGAAGTGCAACAAGCAGAACAAGAGATGCATCGAAGAGCAGGCTCTTCATGGCATGGCACGAGTCTCACATAGTCTTACATGTACTATTCCGGAGACTAAACAATAGCCAGAGCACAGAAGTGCCTAGAAATTGTGGATGCACTAGTAACGAGAAACAATCATGTGTAACAGACTCTTCATGACGCACTAGTAACAAGAAGCAATGTCTTCAGTCTTCAGCATTATTCTTCTCATCATAGGTGGAAGCATTTCCGGCTTGCATTGTAGTTGTTGGTCGATCCAATGCGCTAGGTGGACGCCGTCGGTTTTCTTGTTCACAAAAATGATCGTATGCGAGCACTCCTGAGCTGATCGCGTCTCACGTTCGTAAAAGGACCTCGAACATTAGAAGAACCAGAATGGGGGAGTACTTAAAAAATGGGGGGGGGAGAGTACTACAACTACATAATAGTTTCCACGCGCGCGTGAGCGTGCTGGATCGACTACTTCCACCTCCATTCTGTCCAGATTTTGACCTCACAAAGCTTTAATCCTATCCAAATAACAAGCCTACCTCTTGATCATAAAAATCTTATTGAGAGTCAACATAAAAGAGTCTAATCACTTCTTCGAATTTTTCGACGATTTCGCTTTGCTCGCTTCCAGAACTTGTGTGCAGATGGACAGCCACAACGCGATGCGAGAGCAGTGTCGTGAGTGTCTGCGTCTCATCGACGTCTCCTGTACCATGCGCGAGAAAGGAGACCTTATCGAGTTGAAACTCATCGGAGGTTAGAGCCACTAGATGATGGGATTGCATTGTGCTGTCGTGAGTATTCATATCATAACTCTGCCATAAGCACGTAGCGAGCCATATAAGATACATGTTGATGGATCTTCTAGCTCTAGCATGAAGAAAGTGAGTGAACATACATGACGTGTTCGGTGGCATAACTTCACATGCAGAAGCAGTTTCTGGGGTAGACAGGTTCCCACAAAGTACGCGCGTGGTTCTGGTAAAGGATAGTATGGACGTAAGTAGTTTTTTCCCATCGGAGCGCCCCTCAATTACGAGAATAAAAATACCAAAAGCAATGCATAGGAGCTGGAGGCAAAAGAACTAGAAGTCTACATCGATAACAATCGCACGAGATCATAGCACAACATCATCTAGTTGTGCCTAGTAGAAGACCAAACAATCATCTGGATCAAAATTCATTTTAAGAATATAAGTACTAAGAGAAAGGGCCTGGCGCCCAGCCGCCGAAGCGCTCTCATTCGCTTTTTGCCAGAAAAAGATAGAATTTGCGGCAGCATCCTCAGATAGAAGCTGCAATACACAATCATAGACGACGCAGCGACGTAGATTAGAAGTCGACGCTTTAATATCTGTGAAAGGCCTAGACGGTATTTAGTTATATTATGATAAGACTATATTTATTTATTGCGCCGCTTGTTCTTGTGATGCATCCCTTATAGGAATATCATGGCACCTACATTGTCGTTTGCTCTTTGTACCTTCTGGCTGAGGTGGCTGACACGACGATCACGAAGAACGAAGTTACTACAATAATAAATATGCGAAAAACTGAAGCAACCGAGTTGGAGTTACTGACTGAAATAAGGGAGGCAGCTTTGACAGGGCTACTCTTCCTTGTTCAGTATCTCGCTTATTTTCAGTAGTTACTCGCTTATTTCAGTTTTTCGAATACATAGAAAGCTGAGGATAACCAAGAGCGCCCATAAACTTTTCGAGGCTGATAATACCACAGTCGATGTATTCCCGAAGGCGTCCCTGCGTTGCCACGATGATGTCGTTAGTGCGTGACAAGCCCACTTCCTACTGAATAATTGCCGTAGTGTACCCAGTCTAGAGGTAGTAGCGCACCCAGCTAATCTAATGTCTTCGAGAAGTGCTAGTGTGGTGGTCTCTGAGAATGAGAAAAGTCGAGCAAAAAAGTCTGACTCATAACATCAGCACCATACGACAGCTGTTTCAGTTCGGCGTCATAGTTGTCTCCCCCTAGGACCTTTATAGCCCGTATCCAAGCTCCTGCAAAGAACCGGCGACAATCGTCATGAACTTGATCTGCTAGCTCGTGCGTAGAAGACTTAGATGTTGGAGAGGCGTTGTGGGGAGTGTCAAGCAAGAACTCGAGCATTATAGCAAATTACGTAGCAAACCAAAATCCTGAAAGTGAAAGAGGATCATTCGCGTTCGACATTGTTTCTTCTGCAATACTATGCGATGCAGGGCTGGAAACCTGGATAAAGACTTACAGACCTATAAGCTACAATAATAATATAGTTATAAAGTGGTAACCCAGATGTTGGTGATCTTCTCATCCTGATCTTGTCCAGCACCTGGGGGTCGACAGGCGGCGGCTGCTGTCCGTCGTCGTTTTCCTGTCAATAATGTAAAAATAATGTAAATATAAGCTACAATTATGTAAAAATAATGCAGGAAATTATGACACCGAGTACGCACCATAAGGACAACGATCAAGGCCTTCGGGCACGCCGGGCCTTTGTACACCTCGGCCTGTGCTCCTACCAGCTTCGCGGGGACAGCATTTGCGAATTAAAGAGTCAGAAAGGGACAGCAGCCTTACAAACTACGACGCGCAAATGAATGCTTAGTGCAACTAGTAGCAATAGGTCTAGATCCAGTAAGAGGAGTAAAATTGCTCAATGAGTGCTACGGCTCGGGTAGCTGGCGCATGGCAGCCTTGTATAATATAAGTGGTGGATCCAACCTAACTAGAAAAAGCAAAAAATGGAAAGCGTGTAGATATGAAAACAGCGTTGTATAATAAATTTAGACTCTCCAGCTGTCATAGTCGTTGACAACTGGTAAAGCGCTTCAAGAGTGCGAGGACTTTTCGTTTTGACTCAAGCCTTAAAGAGTAGGAGTCGTCGTTTTCTGCGCGATTCTGGCCCTGAGATTTCGCAGTCGTATGGTATCTTCAGTCAAACTTTTATCTTCCTCCTTGTTCTCCGATCCAGCGCTTGTCGCACTAACTGCTAACTGTTAGAATGAAAGTAGTAATTAGAATTAGAAGTTGTAGTTCGCATGAAAGTAGTACGCTTTGTAGCAGATGAGAGACAGCACGCGATTGAAAGGATGCACAAATAGATACAACTACTCCACCGAAGTACGTGAGAAATACTACTCTACCTTATTTGTAGTTTCTTTTCTGAAAAATATTTTCAAAAACGCACAGACATGATCATGAAGGAGACCCAGATCAAGAGCCAGCTGCAAAGCCGAGTGCAATGAGTGCGCTACATCTATTCATTGTAGAGAAAGCTCTTGCCGTAATGCTCTGGGCTAGAAAGCTGCAAGTCGGTTGTGCAGTGCCACAAGACGGGCCCCAGATAAGCCAACGTCTTGCCGCTTGACGTAGGAGAGGAGAGCGACAATTAGAACGCAAGAGGTGTAGTTTCTACTTATTCTACCACCCTACTGCAGGAGGTGCTGGGTAAAGTTGGACTCACACGGGGCCAGTCAGACACACACACGGCACTGAAGTGTGTGTCTGAAAACTGTGTGTGTGTCTGAAGGAGAAGAGCGAAAGTGTAGACTATCATCAACGAAAGTGAAAATACGAAGAGTAAGAGAAAGTCTACACCTACTCTTACTGAATAGTGTACTTCTACTTCTGAGTCATGATTCAGCGACAAGAGCTGACTCATTAAATAGCAACAAAGTCAATAAGTCATTAAAGAGCACGACAGTATATAAATTGTAATTGGCTCATTGTTCCGTCAAATAAAGGAGCCTTAAACCAAGCTAGGCCCATCCACTGCAAACGCCAGCGCAAAGGTTGCGGCTTGTATCTTATGCAATTCCTCGAAGACAAAGTTCGTCACGTTATCCACCAGTTCAGGAAGGTTAGAGGACAGATATGAGGCGTACTACTAACACCTTTGTGCATGAAGTCGAGATGTGGCTCAAGAAGATAAAGCTATACCAAGCAAGCGAGAGCATCTTCTTGTTAGGACCGACCACTGGACGGCCTAAACTCCAAGAGCATCTTTTTAGGACCACTTTTACCACTAGTTGTTTCCTCAGAGTGCCTCCGTCCACAACTAAACTTCAGAAGTAGTTGGACGAGCTCTAGCTGCAGTTATAGTATGAGGATGGAGGAAGATTCAAATCAAATATGAATGCATAGACTCGTCCATCACTTACGTACCTTAGTAAGAGCGTGGGGAGAGCTCTTACTAAGTCTTACATCGTTCTCACATAGACTCAATTAAATCACTGTGCCTCCCTTAGTAAGAGCCTCGGGAGAGGCAAAAGCGTTCTTGAAGCGCTCCAAAGAATCTGGAAGGCTTAGGCTTTTGTCGAGTCCGAACGGGCGCCATTTGGGTTCGCCATCCTCAGCTATTGCGCAGATCATCACGTCTTGTTTCTCGTAGTCATTCCACAGCCTTTCTGTTTCTTCGTCTGGAACCGGGAACTTTACTACGTCACCCGCCAGATCTTTGCAGAGCTCCCTTTGTTAGAGATCGACTGTAGTCAAGCATTGAGCAGGATTATCCGTGGTCAAGATTGACTGTAGTTGTGAGTCCTTGAACAAGAGGACAACTATCCGTACCGGTTGAGTGGTCATCCCATGTTTAGATTCGTCTTCCTTGGATTTCACCGCAACGGATCTAAACTTCTTTCATGAGTCTTCAATTGGAGGCGTCGCCCACTCACACGAGATAAAATTGACCTAGTAGCCGATCCTTAACTTTCTCGGTCGCCAATGCGTGGCCCTTCGGACTTTCTGGCGTTATCCAATTGCATGCCGCTAAACCGTTGAAGGAGGCACTATTAGAGGCGAGGACTCAGGACCTTAGGGCAATATAATTCCGGTGGAGCTCGTCTAACTAGGAGTCAAAACTACATAAAAAACAATTACATAATCTGAATATCATGACTACCAGGACCTTAGGGCAATTCATTATGATGACAAAGAAGCCAGTAACTTTATGGATCATGTGCGGTCTTTATGATGTGAGACGAAAAGTATGCTGTGGGAGTGTAGTCCTTGTATACTAAACGTCATAAGTAGTGTAGCGCTGTTGCTTTCGCGGTCGGGTGCTCAGGTCCTCCTGATCGGGCGGAGGTCGCTTGGTCTTAGCGCTAGGCCCAGAGTGCACCCCTGTACCGTTTCCCTCTAGTCTCTCTAGCTCTTCAGAATGTCGCGAGACTTCGAGGGATCCTCATCCAAAACAGGATGCATAATCAATGTAAGTCTAGTTATAGCCATAATGCTTGAGCTTGACACCCCTGCACGACATGGGATTTGCTTCATTTTCATTGGTGGGTTCATCTGGAGTCTAGGTAATAAGTGAAAATATAACCAAGTCAAATAAGTTCAAAAAGTAGCACTTTAATGTGTTTCAAAAACAAATATTATTACAATATATAACAACCTTAATAAGGTCCAAAGAGTGTGAGTGATATACAACGATGAGACAAATCTATTATCTATTACGTCGAAGAAAGACAAAGTTGCTTCAAGTTGCGCGTATAAGTGACTTCTAGTCCCTGCGTTGTCTTTGATAGTGAATGGTCTTGGCTTGACACTGCATAGCCATAGCGCTGGTAGGTGAGGTTGAAGAAGAAAAGCCAAGATTTGTGCTGAGAGAATGAAAATCTCCAGAGCAAGGGAAAGCTACCCAATAAATATTCAACGAAGTTCTTTAGAATTAGAATTAGAAGATTTCTGGCTTGATTTCAGGGGCCATGGCTCCAGACAGTCTGGGAGTGGGAGACAGTGCATTTTCGTATTTTTTCATCCGTTCAAACCTCCGATGAGTCGCGGCGTGCGTAGCTGTGGATGTGAGTGTAGGACCCTTCGCGCGTCTCAGATTCTAAAAATGCCGCGCGCATTCAGAGGCATTGTCTGGCCATCATACCATAGCTCAATCAGATGCAAGATGTTAACTGGAGATGTTTCACGGGTCCTCATACTTCGGGCCTCGTCTCCCTGTTCCACACCGCGTTCTCGTTGATGCAGATGAAGATGAAGGCTCCCGGGTGCAAGCATTGGAACTCTACTTTGTAGATTTAGGCATGCTTAGGAGAACGCGAGGCCTCCTTTTTGTAGGTAGTTTACCACCACCAAATCAAAACCAAAACGAGTTGCTGGAGATGTCATCAGATGTGTAATAATGTATGTCGATGATATAAGTTTTGGAACAAAAGTTTCTTTCTGTTTCTTCCAGGTTCAAGGTTTCGCATCAGGGGAAAATCACAGGGATCAAAAGGTAAGGTTAGATCAAAATTAGCACGATAAGCATCAACATCATAAAGATCATAGGTATGATATTGCGGCCAAGCCTTAGATGTTGAGGGGAATTAATGAGACCACTAACACTCAAGAAGGTGGATGAATTGTTTAGGCCGTTCGACTTGATCTTGACGCCTTCGTTTATCTACTTAACTATTTCGTTGGTGAAAATAAAGCTCGCTGAAGTTCGCTAGTAGTGCGAGTCGTCGTCTCAGATATGACGACGAATTATTCAATAAGGTATGGCACTGATCATGTTTTGCTAGCGTTGATATAAAATTTTCAGCACTCGTTCTATTTCTATTGAAGAAAACAATTACGGCGATGAATGCGATTGATTCAATGAAGATAGTCCCGAAATTGAGCGTTAAATGACAAATCCAGGCGGGTAGGAGAAATGGTTGTAATACGATGTTCGTATTTTCTTTGAGGCATCTTCGTTCTACGTGGTCGCGCCACTACTACTACCTATGTGCCTAAAGCTACGAATTTTCAAATCGACTTCCATGCCACATCTGAATACATTCTGTCCCACATGAGTCCTCGGCTAGTAGTTCAAAGTAAAGTGTGCGAAACTAGAAGAGATCATTCTAATTCAGCGCCTTTAAGTTTTTCCTGATTAGTTTTCTTACTTCGACATTAGAGAAAAGGCACTCCGCCCTCACGGTCGCTCTTTTGCCCGTCCGCTTGTCTTAGAAAGAAGGGCTTCTAGAGTCGTGTCTTTTCGCATCGAAGTCTACAAGAAGGAAAGTCTAAGTCACGACTACAAAATGAGGTTGAAAGCTTCACTATTAATTCTTATTTATTAGGTAACTGATCATAATGATTGGTGCCGCCCAGAAGTTTCGGGCTATCCTTCGAGGACAGCTGTTCAGTCGAATCGACTTGAAGTAGGTCAAAGCGTTGAAGGCCCTTCGTGGATATTTTGCAGATTTTCAAGCGGAATACGCTCAGGTCGGCGTCAGCACTTGACGCCGTTTTTCTTAGAGCTACGGCGATGAGCATCATGTGCTCTTCCCATCAAATGACAAACTTACCTTGCTGAAAGCATGTTAAAGGCTATTGTTTTGAGCTACTCTATCAGATAGTATCTACTCCCCTTGAGTAGTTAAGTTTCTCAGAATTAGTCTGTTATAATTATCAGCTCATCTTCACTTTTTGACAAGAGGGACTCACGACTTCATTATATATAGTCAGTAAGTTTGGCATTCAGAAGATCTTCATGTTTTTCTTTTTACTGAATAGCCATAAGTGTCGAGAGTGCGTAGACTTTTTTTCCTGTTCTTTCAACTCGATGTACTTCTTCACTGCTGCACGTGCAGCGCGCGAGGCTTCTTCATTTTCAGACTCCTCTATCAGGCTAGAAGGGCTCCTCTTGATGTCCGTGGGCGACGTCTCTTCGGGAGATGCTGAGAGAGTCTCAGTCTTCTCAGCTTTCTTAGACTCTGGCTCACGCGTACTTGTTGCGCAACTGATGCCCGTGGAGGTTTCGTTGCAAGCTACAGTTTGCGTGGAGCTATTTTCAAGAACTGCATTGGTTCTCGCTCCTGCAGTTCTTGTCACCGTCCCCGATGAGGCTGCATGACGCGAAAAAAGTTGCTTTCTCTTTTCGTCAACGGATAGCGCGGCTATGGCGAACGGAGACGACGCAGGGGCTGCTGGTTCAACGCAACCAAATGTGGAACTAGTTGTATTGGGCCGCGCGGCCTGCGGCTGCGCATCAACATCATGTACACAAGCAGCAGTTCCAGTTGGCCAGCATTTGTTCCTCTCGTCTACAAGCTTTTGCTTCATCTCATCCTCGACTAGGGCTAGTGGTATGCGGTTCTGCCTGCGCCGGTCGATTTTAAGCCATAGTCGATATCTACTCATCTCGCCTGCTGCGTCGTTAGCGGAGGTTCCCCCGATTAATTCCCAGCCTCGTCAAAAGTTAGAAGTAGAACTCACCATCAAGCATCTAAGATTCTTATAAACAAGAGCATCCATCTTGCTGAGGAGTTTACACTTTTCCCTTGAAAGCGTCTGTCTCCAAGGTCCTCTTCAAGGAGTATTGTAATTCAGGAGCAAACAACTACACTACATTTTCACGACTTGGAGTCGTACTTAAAAAGTCGACTAAAAAGCGCTCACATCTTCAAGATTCAAGGGGAAATGCATCCGTCCTCTAAACTCCCTCTAGGGTAACTAACTATCATCATTCGGGGAAATATTTCTAGATGTCTCCGTCCTCTAAACTCATCGCGCCTTAAGAAAAATAATTGGCGCAACTTTGCGCTCACGAAATTGATCGTTGCTCACGAGATGCACTTCGCAGTCGCCACCAGTAGACTTAGAGCGCACCCTAATCCATCCCAAGATGCAAATTGTAGACGCCTTCGTCCCTTGAGGCGCGTCTTGGGGATCGATGCTTCCGCAGAAGCAGATGGATTAGGGCTAGGGGAAGCCTTAATAGACTCGCACTTCTTTGCCATCTCATTGGCTCTGCTCACGACGTCTTCATCGACATCGCGCCCAATGTCGGTCCAAAACACATTCACTACGGCGCCAACCTGGTTGAGATTTTGACCGGGCATCGTGTTCATTGTGACACTCTTGTGCTGACATTGATGTGCTGTCACCGTGGTTTCAAAGATTGATTATAACATCACGTTGTGGCCATTGAAGATTGATTGACGATCATGTTCTTCTTCTTCTTCTTGTACCCAAAAAATGGCTCTGCGTGCGCTTTGCCTACGAGGTAAAACAACGAAAGCCCGCCCTTGGACGTGTGAATGCGCATACTGGTACAAAGAGTGCTAATAGATAAAAGAAAACACCAAGAACATCAACAAAAGCCGACGTAGTATCGTGGGTCCTACCTGCTTTGCATCTTCCTTGAGAGAAAGGAGGGGCTCGGCGTTTGCTATCTTCCCCCGGTCACGCTCATATACGTAAAGGTAGACTTCAAACTTTATTGGACCGGAAACAGGGACGCGGACGCGCGACCCTGAATTTGTTCCGCATCCGCGTCCGGTTGTGAGGTTAGAGAGTTTTTGAATAAGATCCGCTTGCCATTCGACAACCTCTTTTATTTTCCAGAAAGTTGACCTAGGAAGACCACAAATACAACACACAGACAACAAACGTCGCCAGCAATCACATGTCAGCGTGCATAAGACATACTAAAAACTCGCCTTAAGAATGCTCTCCACGAAGTGGCATCCAGTTGCCACAGCGTTTTCCCCTGTGATCGTTTTCCAGAGGTAGTAGAGATTCCAAGGCTCCACGCTCATATCTCTTCGGGCCCATGGCTCAGCTTGTTTGCGATGGTCTTTTAGAAGGTTGCCCCCATCCACCACATAAATCCTACGCTTCGGGGCAGCCATAGGCTGCGCTATACTTGTTGTACTAGATGCTCTTGCAACATCACCAGCGCCAGAGCCTGTTTTACTTGTGTTAGCGCTTACCCAGTCAGTCTGTTGAGTGGTTGCTGATACAAGTGACGCACTAAGATTCTGCGGCGCAGTGCTAGAAGATGAAGTCGGACTCAAGAGCACCCTCCTCTTCTTTGATGAAGGCGCGTCGGCAAAGGTGTGAATGGTGTCACCCGTGAGGACGCACGACGCGGCCCCTTCTTGATGTTCTTCGCCGCCATATGCTGCCGGCCGTTTTTGATACCTTGAGGCAAAAAGGGTAGACGGAGCTACTACAGATTCGCGCTGGCCTTGTGGTTCTTCAAGCGCTAGGGCACTAGCCCTCGTCTCCTCTTTCGTAGTTCCCGCAGGCCGACCTTTCGGCAGATCGTGCTCGAATGTGAGCGGGCTGGTCTGTCGGTCGTCCACCGTTGCCATCAGCGGGGTCGCCGGGGACGTAGCTGTTGAAAGCAAAGACTTGCCAGTGGTCTGGAGATTGAAGTAAGAGCTAGCCGCTCCACGATGCTTCTGACGCATTTGTAGTCGCGCCCTTAGCGCAAAAAACTCCGACAGTTGACGAATCCCAAAAACAGCATCGTGCGCAGCCACCCAACGAAACCAGTGGGCCCAACATATGAAAGCTAACAGAGGTTGTAGACCGATTCTTGTGCCCCTGTAGAAGTAGCTGTTGTTGCATTTAGTTGTTGACCATCACACGACTGCCCATGGAAATCATTGGCGATAGCGTCAAAATGCTAGATGGTGTACTACTACTCTGTAAATTCTGGCGCATCTGCTACTTCTATGAGGAAGAGGAGAGTGATCAAATAGAAACTTCAATAGCAAGTGCATCAACAAGTTGACTGATATGTAACTGGTGAGCGTGAGAGAAGCTGCTGAATAGAGAGAAACGAATAGGCATCGACACTCGCTAGCCCCTGGACTAGAGTACACAGACCACCAGGCGCCGTCTATCAAGAGCTAGACCAACTTCCACATCATAAAACTGCTCTCGTTCTTTGGCCCTCCGTGGTCGTCCAGCTGCGCCTTGCGTTCTTGTAGTGCCAGACCCTTCTGGAGAAAGACGACGAGCCCTGACTTAGCTCGCGTGAGCAAAACATTGATCCGACGATCCTCGTCCATGAAGCCAAGCCCATGCGAGCGGACTGTGTCGACAATGAAGATTAGAGCAGTCAGGGAGCGCGAGCGCACGTTAAAGGTAAGCTGGAGCATATATATTGAGGCTGCCTATCTATACATAGGCACTGCTAGCATCAGCTCAAGGGGTCATCGACATCGTCTCCAGCTGCTTGCATAGTTAATGATTTATTTTGTCTTAGTCTCAGACTTCAAGAAAAAAAGAAGCTAACGCAAGAGTTGAGCTGTACTAGCGGAGTTAGATTTCAAGAAACAAAGAGGCGCCTATCAGTCGCTAACTAACCTCTACTGGAGTTAGGGTTGCCTATAGAGAGAGACACGCTATCCTTATCGGTGTCACTAAAAAGCTGCAGCGCGCAGCGTAGTCCTATCCTATAGCTATCGAGAGCCTTAATAAGAGGTCCTTCTCGCGTCCCTGAAATGCGTCAACTGTGCCAACTTCAACGCCTGGGGCATTTTGCAGTCTTTTCCGCAAGAGTTCAGCCTGCGGCCGATACCCTGCGACCACACCGACCGACCGAGTTGGGTTTTCTTCCTGCAGAATTTTTGCTAAGCTTGCGACTGTCTTGTTAGAGCTCGGAGCCATTCTTTCACTGGCTCCCTGGGTTCATTAATATCTAACCGCCCAAGTTAACAGCTAAAGAAACAGAAGTAGAAGACCAAGTATCCAGTGCCCTCCCTGTGCCTCCTGCTAATAATTGTAGTAGTTCCTTTTTCACGTCGAGCCTTAACCTTTGCAAGCTCCTCATTGATCCAGCTGGTCCCATGACCAGACTCAGGACACTCCCGGGGATCAAACTCCACCACTGCCACACGAAAGTGGTCGCCCGCTCTGCATCGATTTCGCGGGAAGCGATCAAGGAGCGCACTTGAAGAAGATTCGCCGGATGCCAGGCGTGTACAAGCATCACCAGCCGAGCGACCTCCTGGCACAGAAGTAGCATGAGCGCCACCGGATAAACTACGGAGGGCCCCCGGCCTTCGCTCAGTGGTATCACCAGCAAAGCGAACCCATGGGAACCCGCTGACCAGAGTGAGCGCGTCCACGTCGACGCCATCGAAGACTCGACGGGAGTAGTACTGCTTTAGCGGAAAATACGAGATCGTTGGATGCATTCGAAACTGTAAGTCGAGCTGGAAGCTATGAATTGGGAGCATGAGGGGGGCAGGTGGAAGTGGAGCTGTAAGATGACGCATGGACGAGAAGAAAAAGAATAACTTGTACCCAGTAGGATAGAAAAAGAGAACGATCAGCGACGAACTACTTAAATAAACCCGAGCGCTTGACCTTGAGTCGATTTCGTCATTGGTTGGTAAAGAGTGACAAGAACCAGCAGAGCGCTGCATCTAATGCAACACCATACACCCGACGACAGAAGAAAAGCAAAGACAAACAGCTACGCCAAGCGTCAGCATTTATCAACATCAACACAAGCATAAACACACGGCGCTCTCCCCTCTGATCGCAGACGTTCGAAGAGGCTCACCCTGAGGCCAAGGTCCACGGCTTCCAGGCACTTGACAACTGGAGCAATCTTTAGAAATCTTAAGAATTGCGCTCGCAGTAGGCGTAAGCACTGGCACAAGTACTAAAAATTAGCTGAGATGCCGCAGCAGCAGCCGCTACCTGCCACTTTTCTCTAGAAGAAGAATTCAAGACCAAAAATTCAACTACTTACCCAATTACCCTCCCTAAATAAAAAAGCTGCCATCTGGTACTATTTCAAGCCCTGCGACCCTAATTCGCTCTCCTTCTGCCTAAGTAGTGGAAGGAAACACCCGACTACAGTGCTGCGCCCCGAGCAACTAGCGCGATCAACTTACTCCAAGAGAACCTCCCACCTTAAATTTTGCTTGTCGTCTCCGGTGAGAACTAGCTTCTTTAGGTCAGACCCGTGAGCATTTAGCAAGATATTGGTATCTACCTCACTCGCCTGCGCCGCTTCATCCACAAGCACGCACGAGAAACGACCTGAGGGAGGTTTTGAGTCGGAGGTTGGGGTATGAAAGAGTGCGCAACGTCTCAGCTTGTTAGACAATGTTAGGCCAGGCCCAGATCCTTAGACAGATTGACCCTGAGCCATTACAAGCATTCAGCTCTGGGCTGTCTGGCCTGCCTGTCGATAAGGGTAAGCGCGTACTGTAGCGCGCCTAAGCTTTTCGGGCCAGTTACTAGCCTCAGCGCCGCGCGCAGTCGATTAATCTAGTGCCAACATTGATAAAGTTGCAGCGCCAAGACTATCCTGAGAAATGGAAAACAATAATACCAAACCTCATCTGCGGCAATAGTTCGCAGCGGCCGAGCGTAGTAAGGACCGGCGCGCCGAGTTTTTCAACGAGAAACCTGAAGACGCTAGCAGCAGGGAAGCCCCCCCGCTTTGCGAGAGTGCAGGCAAGCTGGTCCTGAGCCGCCAGACGTGTCTGATGCGCCTCTCTATCAGAGCCCGCTGCCTTCTTAGGAGTCCCCCTAGTCCATCTTCTGAGAATGCTGCACCTTTCAGTGGAGGCCTTCGTCCATTGGAGCAAAGCCTTCCCAGAGAGATGCCCCAGCCTCTAACTGAAGAACAGACTAGAAGAAGCCATAACTCTCACCGTTTTCAGCAGCTCCTCGACTTTGTCTAAATTTTGCAACAGCTCCCGCCTTCCCTCCTCCAGTTCTGCTTCTGCCTTTCCTTGTTTCACTTCGTCGGCGATCTTCTCTCCGTCTGCACCCTCCGCGATCACGGGAGCCTTTTTGCGTTCAATTTCCTCACAGCAATACCTTTCATACTCTTGCTCGATAGTCGCTCGTTGCAAATGCAAGAACTCTGCGGCTTTCCAAGATTTTTGCGACGCTCCATAAAACCGAACAAAAAGGGTCTTCGTCTTCACAAGGCGATAAGCTAGCTCGTCCACAGCGTCATTGCTGTGCGTCACAACAAGAGCAGCCTGCTTCTCGTGATACCACCAACCGCGTACGATACTGGCCGCCACGGTCGTTTTTCCTGTACCTGGAGGCCCCAAGACCAAGCACAGCGGAGGAGTAGACGGGGCAGAGGTAGCAGCTGCGTTAGCGACAGACAGCATTGCCATTCTTACCGCAAGCCTCTGGGCGCCGAGCAAGTTTTTTTCCAGCTCTTCATGTTGACAGACGTCAGACGCCTCCTGTTCGAGATGTTGACAGATGTCAAACGCCTCGCGGCCCGTCACAAGATCCACAACAGATGGGCCAGATGCTGCAGAAGTAGTCGCATGCTGTTCGGCTGTTTTGACTTTTTGCGAAGTAGCGGCACTCAGTGACAGTGGCGGCGGAGGTGTACAACCATTCCCAGCGTAAAGGCTTAGCGTGCATCTTATCCTCGACTCCGCACTGTTCCAACTCAGAGCGTCAGCCGTCATAGAGAACGGCCGCGGGCTTTGCTTCGACGCCATTTTTAGAGCTGCCCTGCCCCTGAGTTTGAACCTCTCCAAGAAGGCTCTGCTTCTCCGGCGTTTCATCCCTTATTAAGTATTTCTAGGTACGGAGCTGCCCTGGCTTCACTATCAGAGAAGTAAGAGCCTCCTTCGGGTAAGGTCCTACTTGCGTGGTGTTGACAAAGCAGGCGCTGCCTCTTACTTACATACTTACTCTACTGTCTTGGGCAGATGTCTTTAGCTCTGGGTCTGCATTTCCATAATTTCAGAATCGTGCACAAGACAGCAGGGCGCGCGGTTTTGCCCTTCAAATCGAGGCGGTGCAAGAAGGTGCTGGCGATACCATACAAGAAATTCTCCTGCAGGATCGGCGAGGCGGTGAGCTTGTATACCTTCTTGTCCTGGGAGGTGTTGTCTCGACGATGCGGTTCGGCGTAGCTGTTAAGCTTAGACGCCCCAGCTAAGGTGGACTGGCTCCTGTCCTCTCTCTGGAGGAAAGTGCAAAACGAATTCGAAAAAAGCTAGACGATCTTTCTTCGGTGGAGAAAGAGAAACCAAAAAAGAAAAAATACGAATCAATAAGATAAGATAAAATAAATAAAGACAGCAAATCCTTACCCAAGTCAGCCTTAATAAGAGTAGCAAAACAACTAGGGGCACGCCCCAGCTCGGCGCTGAGT